TGATAGCATTTCCCCGTCCGGGTGGACACGATGAAATCTGGCAAAGTAGGGTTCTTCTGCCCTTTTACTTCATAGTCCTGACTGCCCTCGCAAGTCTCAAAAACGATTTCTTCTGAAGCTGCAGGTTCTTCAGTCTCAGTCTTAGTCCGATCGCCGGCTTTCTCATGGTTCAGCTTTCTCGGTGTTCCATCATGAGAATGGGTCTCTCCACGAAATTTCACCAGGCACGCCCCCACCACAACTCCGATGAGGACTCCACCGGAGAAGCAAACCACGAACATGGCACATAGTAGCGACATTATTTGCAGCAATCCAACAGGAAACCATAAGTTACATACATCATCATACAAACACATCAAATCAAATGTTCATGATTCATTGATTCATGCTGACTCACGACTATGGGTCCCCTCCTTGAAAAAAGTAAAGCAGGTGTGCATGCATGGTGACTCCGCAGCAGCTGTCATCACCAATAGCACCATCGCATCAAGAACGCTGTATATACAGGTCAAGAAGGTGTGCCGGAGTGGAAGCGGTAGTAGAAACAAGAAACTGGAATGGGGAATGCAATTGTCAGCGCGCCTTGCAAACAGAACTACAAACACACTCAAATGACTCAAAATGCTCGATTCTCAAATCCCAGATCCAAGTACCATCCATTTTTTGCGTGGCCAAGCGGTGCCAGCATGTCAGACAGGGATGTTAAACCAAAACTCCAAAGGTCCAACACTTCTTCGGCTTGCTACCGTTGCCAACCAACCTGATTTGCTGACAAACTCACAGCCTGTTCAATTTGTAGGCCTCCAATCTCCACATGGGATTCCTGTGATCTTTGCCTGCAGTAAGTAAGCCCTATCGGTACAGTGGGAGGAACAGTGAATCGTAGAGCTGCGAAGACATGTTGCTCAGTCATGAGTCATATGTCTTTAATTTATTGATTCATTTGAATTCCTATAGTAATAATCAAGTAACAGTTGACAGAGTCACTCATGATTCAGGAGTGTGGCCCACAAGTCCCAAGAGTTTGAATCCCTCCTCTATCAGTCTATGAGCTGCCTATGCCTATGACAAACTGAATGCTGTTTGAAGTTTGAACCGCTAAAGTAGACTCCAGACTGTCCAGACTGTAGTTGTTAGTTTCACTGTTTCTTCAGCAAATCAAGCGATGTTGGCTCGCAGCGCCGGCAAGCTTGCCAAAACTTCGCCAGACTTAGCTCCTCCCGTAAAAACACACTCGGGAGGCCTCGGAGGATTCAGAGTCCGAATCTGGGCTCAACACGATGCGCGGCCTGCGTCGTGGCTCGGTCTCACCAAGAACCAGGGTCTCAGACTCGGAGCTGTCAGCGTCACCGGAGTCACCATCATTCTGTGAATCGGAGCTTGCAGCGTCAAGAGTCGTCACAAGCTTCTGAGTCGAAAGAGGAAGCTGATTCCAGATGTGCCTGGGAAAGCGCCGGACAGAAACTAACTTTATTGTAAACTCCTGACTCCTGACTCAGCAACACGCATGCAAACTTCAAATCTTTAACTGGGACCTGCAAGGCCACTCTCAAACATTGAATGTACTGCGAGTTGCTGCCCATTGTGCCCCAAAGGCAGGCAAAAAATCATCACTCCACAAAGGCAAGCGCCAACAACAGAACTTGTCATGGCATTTCCTGACCGCTGAGCCAGTTCAGAGATTGCAGTCCAAGAAGTTTATATGAATGACACAACACTGACACAACCATGAACACCAAAGTTGAAATAACTATACCCCCAGTGCAGCACTGCACTTCTGCTCTTATTTTAAGATTGTCCCTACCGAGTCCCTACCGTCCCCACCCAAGGCCCAAGATTTCCAAGTGTTGAAGTCGAGAGAAGCCGCTAGAGTTGAGTGAGATGAAAACAAATCTTCTCATATTTGATGATGCCATCCAAAGCCTTTAGGAACTCCATCGCCTGTTTCGCTGCCACTTTCAAACCTTCCATGTCTCGCTTCACCTCCTCTGTGGTATCATTGATGAACATCCACTCAACGTCCTTCAAAGTCCACGCTTCCACAGCAGCTTCGAGTTCTTGGTACTTCTCAGTGAAGCTGTGCAGGGGGCCATAGAAAGCATTTCCCTGCTGATCCATAGTCAAGCGGCAAGACTTGACAAAGGTTTGGAAGTAGGTCTTGCACTTTTCACGCACAGAGTCAAAGATCGAATCACTCAGGGGCGGAGCAACCACTGCAGCACACGCTGCCTCTGCCATGTCAAACTTGGCAATGAAAGGTTGGACATCGGACACTTCCTCCTCCTTGACACTGTCGATCTCCTTGTCCCAATTCACCTGCAGACAGTGAGCTACCGAGTGCATCGACTCCGGAAGGCCCTTGTAGTTTTTCATCTTCCCGTTGACAAGTGCAACCATAGCCCGTCCTTCACACACGGTCCTGAGTCGCTTGAGCATGTCCATGACGGACTGGAGAGCACACTTGAGTTTGTCAACATAGGGGCCAGGCTTGGCAGCTTTCACAGCCTCGAAGCCTCCTGTGATGATTTGCAGGCAAATCTCAGAGTGCCTCATGATCTTGACAAGCAGTTCATTGGCCGAATCGGAATCTCCTTCTCCTTCTAAAATGGCAGCGTTGACATCACGGAAGACGATGGCTTTCTCGATCCACTCGGTGAAAGCGGTGTAAGCTGCTGTCAGGGCCTGATCACCAATGTTGAGCTTGGACTCCAGAAAACCTCACTCAGAATCACACAAACGGTGACTCAGTGAGACATTTGACCTGACATGATGAAGGCCAGACCAGTGACCAGAGCTAAAAACCTGCTCCAACCATCATGAATCATACCATGACTAATTGAGTCATGACTCATGACTCATGACTCATCACAGCAACAACCTTGCCTGCCAAAAAAATGAACGGGCTTATTCAAAGCAAACAAATACAGACAATAAAATGCATCTGCATAACATCAATGAATTGAATCGGAATAACTGAATAACAATAATATATATTCTGAATTCTGAATTCTGAAATTCTATATGAATGAATGACTCGGACTCGTGAAGATTGAAGCGACTCAAGCACTCAATAGCATCCTAGGAGCATCGCAAGCGGATGTGTTTCCTGATTGCTTCCGGCACATCTGGCAATTTGCCACTGTAGGCATCAGACAGCTGCTGAGTCGTCGCACCTGGCTGAATCGGAACCATTTGGCTTGCTTGCTCAGCAACCTCTGCAAGGACCGCATCCAGATCAGGACAAAGGACTTTGCGGGCCCACTCCATCAAAGTATCAATGGCTTTCTGGAGAGGTGCCACACCTTCAGTGGCCGCAGGCATGTCCATCTCTTGAAGCTGGGCCTTCACCTTTGTGATGTCAGCCACACTGGTCAACTTCTTCTCGACCTCTTCCAAGCTTCCCTCTTCCAACTCAGATGTTTTCACCAGCTCATCTATGTTGGTGATGAAGGCTTGCGAGTCCTTGATGATGGAAGCACTGGTAGTCATGTTCTTGTTGAAGGTCAGGAGTTTTTGCCAAAGCCCCCTGCACATGCACCAAAGGAATACTGTGGCCCGAAAATTGGAAAGCTGACTGGAGCTGGGAACTAGATTTGGAACAGCTGTATTCATGTTGTTGTTCATAGACTCATATATCATATAGATTCATAGATGTAGAGAGTCGTGAGTACAATAGACTCTGAAGAATATTCAAAGGGCTATGGGCTAGGGCCTAGGGCTATGGGCTATGAGGCTCCACAAACGTATGAGTCTGAGCACATGTGTGAACTGTGCGTCATGCTTTGCCGCTCAGCTCAGTATCTAATTTCAAAAGTAGCAGGACTGTCTACTGTCTACAGTAGTTTAACAGGCCCATCACACACACACAATCGGCCTCCACTCCCCCTGGGCGCTCATTGGCATCACCACCTTCGAGCTGAACAAGGTGCTGTTTTTGGCCACGGTCATGATGTACTGCGGGTCGCGAACCGGACTCTGCACCATGTCCAGGCACCCAAAGATTCTCTGAAGGTCAGCCATGATGGAACAGCTCAAGCCACCATTGCAAGCATACCCAGTCATATCAACTGGGCCTTTCCCAGGATTGGGATACCTGCCAAGTGCAAAAAATCATGAACTGCCGCCATTAAAGCCACTCGAGTCACTGGAGTGCTTGCACCACTGGCAGCCCCGTTATTTAGGGAGGTTAGTCCCATACTAGGGTCGGGAATCATCATATAGATCAGGAACCGGAGCGGCAACAAAAAATAAACAGTGACTAATCAGCAAGCGAGGAACCATTGCTTCTCGTCTGTAAAATTTGTGGTCCGCAAAGTCTCCGGGACGTGGGATTTGCAAAACTCAAGGCTGGAAGCTGCACGCAGGCGCTCGAATATCAGGTCCTGTACTGCAGTTTGCTGAACACGGAGGAGGTGGCCCACGAGGTCGTTCTTGTTGTCGCCAGTATACATTTCGACCAAATGTGACAATCCAAAAGCGCACTGGGTCACATCACGCATCTGGATGTACTTCCAAAACAGGAAGTCCTCCGCCTGAGGCCAAAAATTGGAAGGGCGAGGAGGATCTCAGTGTTAATGACATGAAATGGATACGATGTCAAAAGTTTGGTTTTCTGTGTGCGGTCAGTATGTATACGGTGTATTCAACCACTATTATATAGTATACACTATATAATATAATATAATATAATCTATATGTAGAGCCTACAGCCTATTATATTATATTTATATGGCTTTAGGAATGGGAATTCGGGTGAACATTTGAGCGAACTGTTCAAGAAAGAACTAAGGACTCAGGACGGACTAAGGACTAAGGACAAGGACCAACAACAACACCACGGGAGTAGGATGGAGAAGGTTTGAATTCACCTTCGGACATTTGGGAAGCCTTAGTCCTATTGCACTCACTATGAACCCGCCAAGTTCTTCAAAAGATTGAAAGTTCCAACTGCAACTTCCAATTCCTGTGAGTCTAACCAAATGCCAACAATAAACTCGCTTTCAAAACCACAATGCCTCCACCAATTTCTTGGCGATAGAATGAGTAAAGTCAATCAAGACTGTGACGTCCGTGTTGAAGAGCTTGTGGGCAAATTGCTGAACGTACTTTGGGAGGTCCTGTCCGCTGGACACCTCCCGGATGAGTGTAGACGGCTCCGAGCTCCTCACCATTTGGAAGGTAAGCTTCATGGCATTCACAGTTTCTGACAAGCTCTGGATTTCATCCTGAAGATGCGATGCTCGAGCCTTCTGTTGTCGGTCTGCTTTGTCTCCACTGGCGGAAATCTTTTGCAAATCCCGTTCTGTTGGAGCCACCTTGGCAAGTCGTCGTTCCAGCTCTGTGGTCCGAACCAACGATCGCCAGACCACGTCTGGCGTGAGCTCGACTAGAAGATCCCTGACTTTTTGGCAGGCAGTGAGTGTAGCTTCTGTTCGCTCATGATTCTTGTCCCGATTCTTCTCTACCTGCTCTTCTTTTTCAGAAGTCCTTGGCGAAGCCCCTGCTGTCGACTCCTCTCCGCCCAGACTCACTTTCCTTTGTTTGGCTTTGGAGCCAGGTTTCGCCTTGGGTGCTGCTGGTGGTGGTGTGCGCTTAGGGCCCTTCGCCGTCTCACCCTCCTTCTCCTTCTGCTTCTTACCGCCTCATTGGGAGAAAATTGTGACGGAATCATGGCAGTCCCATGCAAACTATTTAATATTTCAATTTCCAGCCCAGCTCAATTCTGAGAGAACAGTCAGTGATTCAGTGACCCCAAATAAGAGTGGTAAGACCTGAGCCATGGTACTGGGAGGAGGATCATTCTCATCCTCAGAACCTGCTGACTGCAGCTTCATGGATGTGGGAGAAGATGAATTGGAACTCGAATCGGAGTCACTGGAATCGCTCTCATCATCCTTCCCCTCGGCCAAGGCCTTGTCCAGATCTGCCTAGGTTGGGCACATGAACCCACTAGAATACCCGCACAACCATTCAACCATGTTCAACTGTTCAACCAATTGTTTGTAACATATTACATATTGTAAAAAGGCAATGTAGTCTAGTCTAGTCTAGTCTAGTAACTTACTTGCAGAAGATCTGGAACATTGACCAAGAAGAAGCGTCATTCCAACTTCTACACATCACACAATTCACAAGTAAAAACAAAAGGAAACAGAAAGAGATTTCGACAGAACTTTCTTTCCAGGTTTGGTGAGTGGGAACATGGGACATGTCAACTGGTTGCTGTTACACAAGAGTTATACGGTATACGACGACTAGACTAGAGTTGACTGTTTGTCAGCAGTAGTCATTATGATTATGAGTCTGAGTCAGTCATCATATACAAAGCTGAGCTGAGGTACTTTCGTGTTGGTTTGAACCTCAAAATCCTGACGCGCTCTTGCAAAGGATTTTTTTGCCTCCCCCTTCTGGTCGTGGACCTCCTGCTTCACTTTTGCAGCACTGACTCGGGTGCCACTCAACATGACCGTTCGGTCGAGGATCGGGATGGCGTCTTTCCCCGATTTGGGGTGCTTGATCAGTTTAATGCCCTGATCTTTGCACCACTTTCTCTTTTCGGTTAGAGTCCTCGGCTTGTTTGACGACTTGCAGTGTGTCTTGACGTACTCGTCAATCTCCACCAGCGTGGATACCTTAATACTCAGTACGGGCAAACTGAAGCGTCAGACTGTCAGACTGCTTCTACTGTCCCATGATGCGGTCACTTTGATATATGTCACTGTCGTCCCTTCTTACATGGTTCATATGATTCAATGTCAGCTTTTCAAGGTATGACAGAACTTAGACTTGATCCCAAAGGTATATAAAGGTATGACAGTATGACTCTATGACTCAATGACATCCACATGTCCACAGGGTTTGGGGTGGGGGTCTAGGGCTAAGGCTACCTGCAAAATCTTGAATTGTTAAAAGCATTTTGACAGTTTTGGTTCTTGCTGCACAGTTACATAGGAGTTATGCAGTTGGGAAGTCATAGTCATGAGTCGTAGTCATAGTTGTACAAATTGCATTGCAATCAGACTACCCTTATCCAATTCAAGTCAGTGATCTCTTTGCAGCTCAAGCACGTCCTGGAAATCTATGTAATCCTCCTCTGCCCGCTGGATCAAAGTCTGAAGATCCAGACGCTGGTGTCGTCCCTTGCGGGACGGAAACAGCACCTTCTCAGTCAGCTTCTCCTTGCGAAGCTGTGCAAACCTTGGCACAGGCATTCAAAGAAGTTAGTGTATAGTTATAGTTATAGTCATAGTCGTAGTCATAGTAGATTATATTATCTGAAAATGATTCCAATTATCATGATGACGATGATTTGATGATGACAATTTGAGAGCAAAAGCAAAAGTCAAAAGTCTGTTTTAATATGTTTAGAGTCCAGGGTCTAGGGTTTGATTGGACGCTTAGTCGACTGTACAGTACAGTACAGTACACTGTACATGTTACAAGAATATCAACATTGATGACTGGCATGATCACCAACTATGACTCCTATGCCTATGACTCCTATGACTCCTATGAATGCCTATGACTTAACACTGATTTTATCTTTGATGCTGGGACCTGGTCGTTTTTAGTTTTATGGACCATGAAGTGTCATTGACTTTCTATATACAGTCACGTGCTCGACATGAATCATAGTAATTAATCATAGAATCATAGCAGGCAAGACTTTGGTAAAGGATAGGTCCAGTCTGGCCGAGTCAAGTCCAATCCAAGGATAGTTTGGGTGTATCCGGTTCCCTTTCTTTGTGACATGCTGTTGATTCAGTCAGTGTCCTTGTCATTGTCCAGATGGTCCAGATGCAAATCCTGTCCCATTTTATTCAGCCTGGGAACTTCTGCTTGATCGTATCATGCTCATCCATAGCCCCTCGCAACTCATGCTGTTTCACTCCTTGAAAGCTCCCACGCGCTACATAGTAACACGTTGAGCACACATGCCCTTTGTCTTTGGCACGGCTGACAGTCACATCGTGGCCAGGAGGTTGGTCCTGAAGCCAAGCGAAGGGTCAAAGGAACTTGCTGGCTACGCAAAACAATTGTGTTCAGCCCATACGGTGCGCTGGCACTAAGTCACTGTTGAACTATCCATCCATCCATCCATCCAAGAGTTTGCTACATACCGACCGCCACGAACCCCGTGAGACTGAACTGCTACTTTGCCACAGTTGAGCTCCCAGAATGAGCACACCTGTGTCATGTCATGTCACACTTAGGTCACTTAAGAGTACAGTGTATGTCGACCCAGCCGATGCCTATGTTATCCTCTTCGTCATTGTCTCAAATTGTCTCTTAATTTTGTGCCTGGCTGCTTTGTCATTGTGGCCTCATTGCTGGTCACATAGTTTGCATCCACCTTCCTCTGTGACCAGGTCGTCTTCCCCATCTCGATCTGGTTCACTCGCCATGGCTCTGAAAAACTCAAAGTCACTGGCAGACTGATGGTGTTCAAGCCTCAAAATATGTTGAAAGTTGGGGCGCTGCAATCACCCAAGGTCAAAGTCATGTGTCATCGGAGTATCTATTATCTATTTGCTACTTTCGTGTGTCGATCCATGTATCATATCCTGCAAAATAAAAGGACCGGATAACCCCACATGATAAGTTTTACAAATTTCACCTGTATATGAACATCACATGGGAGACGGAGTAGTGAGATGAAAAGTCAAGAAGGAAGTGTGAGGAGAGAAGGTATATGAGGCGGTTGTGCTAAGACGTGTAGTATAAGTGATGATGTGATGGACGAGGATGAGAAGGAGGGGAGGGAGGAGGTGTGTGTGTGTGGCGGGCAGTGTTAGCAGGATGTAAAGCAAGAAGAGGTGAGACACGTTTTTTTTTCTCTCGCGCAGAGATGTAGAGTGAGCTCCAGGCAGGACCTGAGCTCCGGTCAACTCGCACGAACAGTGAGTATATGTTTGCAACACTGAAGGCGGAGGTTAGCGCAAGACCTGAGAAGTGTCGATGTCAGAAACGAACTTGGTCAGCGTCAATTCTTTTGAGAAACGAACTCCGTCAGTCGTCATGCAACGCAAGGCAGCGTTGTTTTCGACTCTTTTCGCAGCAGTGTATCGTCACAGTCTGTCCGGCTCGTCACGTCGACTCGCCGGCATGCTAGCTCACAGTTCTTGAACTGCAGCAAAAATGCGAGGTCTGACAAAGAAATTTAGGTTCTTCTCCCAAGTACGCAATGCCCAGAAGACATGCGGCCGATGCTTCCAGGGGTGAAGCGTGGGACGGGCCGTCAACAAGCTCTGCACAGCCGCTTCCGCGGAGAGCTGACGACGAAAGATCAACCACGCGCACAATGCCGCTGAGCTGCGGTTGACCCCGCCGAAGCAATGAAAGAGGATGCCTCGTTCTTCTCGCTGAGTCGTTGCCTTCAAGTGCTTCAGAAGAGCGCAGCACATGTCCATCCACGATGACAACCAGGCATTTCCCACTTCTTGACAAAAAGTATTGGTGTCATCCAAGTAGGTTCTGGGATCGTCCACGTCGAACGTAAACCACCGAATCTGGAGATCTTCAAACCACGCTTTCCAGCCCACCTCTGGCTGTCCACGAATACGTGTCATCTCCCGCGGACAAAAGCTCAAGACAACCGACACCTTGCGATGGGAAAGTGGGACAGTTTCCTGGTGAGTCCGGAGATGGCGACAGGCAGCCAAGCTCCCGAGAAAGTAGATCTCAGGCGGTTCCAAAGACATCATCTCCCCAGGAAGTATTTCACAGATGTCATTTGGCCAATCTGAAATATCACCGAAGTGATACTGGTGCGCTGCCAAAAGCCGGTCGAGTGTTGGCTGATCCTCGATCGGCACGTCCAAAGTGCTCTCAATCATCCGTTGCAAAGCAGCGCAGGCAGCAGACATCGCATCGTCGTATGGCTCCATGTTGCACGGGCTGCGTGTTTCGAGCCTGGATATCTCACGGAGGGTCCGCTCAAATGCTCTTTGATGTTCTCTGACATACAGCTGCAGGCTCACAAGTTCATAGACCAACTTACTTGACGTTGGTCTCTATCGCTATGGCGCGGTCATCATGTCGCTCAAAAGCGGAGGTCACTGAATTGCACCCCCCATTATTCATTTTAATTCTCTGCCGGCTGAGTGATCTCAGCCCGTGTTAGGCTTGTAATCGAACTAACGATCGGCAGCTTCGTGAGCTGTGGACCGGGCGGCCAAGTAGCATCATCCTGAGGAACGCATCGGAACAAAGGGGTTCCGAGGTTCGACTATCTTGCCGAATGCTGAGGTCAATGAAGATGTAGCAACTAGCCAAAACATGTAAGCATCTGTCTCCATCTCTGGCAGGTGGGGACACGCGACAGGAACCGTGTGATCATCTGTCAAAAAGCGGCCTCCGCCCGTGTGCAAAATTCCTTGGTAATGGCCACAAGAGGGCAGTTCACCTCGGTGAAGGACGGTGGCCACGATCCTGAACTCTAGCCAGCGGGTGGCGCATCCAGTGTCGTACATGAACACCGGAAGAAAAATCTTGTGACGATTCCATTGAATCTGGAATTTGGATCGAACGCCCACGGTGGGAAAACGGTTCACCTGCAAGCAAACATTTGTGGTCCAAGAGTTCACTCCGTATCTAAAAGGGAGCTGGTTCGACCAAAGTTCAATCAGCTCTTGCAAGCTGCTGCAACCTGACTTTTCTCGCCTCAGGACAATCGGTGCAAAGGTCAAGCCCCAGTCCTCTATGGATTGCTCGACTCTGGCTTCCCGACGTGGTGCTCTGCTCAGGTCTTGACAGCTTCCCTGATGAAGGGATTGTCTCAACCAACCCGCAAACTCAGCAGCGTCTTGCTGCTCATCCCTAGCATGTACCGCAAACCAAGGAGCAAGGCAGGTGCCCAACACATGAGGATCTGTGAGCCATTGAACCTTCGTGTCATGACCAAGAACCCTCTGTAGAGGCAGGTTCCAACAATCCATGGTTTGCCAATGAAAATTGCTGTCCATGCAGCATCTCCATAATTCAGCCTGAACTACCGAGTTGACATAGCAGTCATTGGCTTCGTTGCCAAGTACCAGCTGCAAAAGTGCCTGCCTCATCGTTTCAGGCAGTGGGCCACAGCTTGGGCCAGTGGTGACCTCTGTAGAGTCGAAGGTCTCAGCCTGAGGAGGATCAACTGGGTCAGGCCATTGGCGATCAATTTGGTCAGCAGGCCGTAGATCTCCTGAAAGGCTGGGCTGCGAAGCGAGAGATCCAGTCTCCATGGAATCACTACCGTCGTCTGCTTGACCAACAGGTCGGCCTGAAGAGGTTTCAAGGCCGAGAAACGATGGATCAGGTCTGACTGGCTACCGAGCAGGTGGATCCATGTCACAAAGCATCCAGCATATCAATTATACGATCGAACTCCAACAATAGAATGAAAACGTGAAGCAGCGGCGATTTTTTGATCTTCTCGCAGCAGCGTATCGCCACAGTCTGTCAAGCTCGTCACGTCGACTCGCCCAACCAGAGCGGCTATGCTAAAGCGATTCAAGTATGCAAAAGTTTGCGCCATAGTCTGTCAAGCTCGTCACGTCGACTCGCCAAAGCAGAGCGGCTGTGCTAAAGCGATCCAAGTATGCAAAAGTTTGATGAGAGGCTCGTCACGTCGACTCGCCAAACCAAAGCGGCTGTGCTGAAGCGATCCAAGTATGCAAAAGTTTGATGACATGACACCGTCGCCCGCAAGCATAGATCACAGACGATCAGTGGCTCAACAAGCAACAAGTCTGATCAGCACACGTCTTATCACAGTGCCACTACGGATTCCATCGGCACATCTCCGCTGTGCCAGGCATCGCTGTGACGTTCCTGCTCGGGCATCCCGTCACGCAGACCTCGCAGACGCTTCAACGGCGTCTCCCAATCCTTGTCAAACTGAAAGCCTGCATCTTTGGATTCAGTGGTGCTGAGAAATTCCCAGAAAGCTGTCACTTCAGGAACTCGTTCTTGCACGACCGGCACATGCCACAAAACCGAGTATTCTCCAAAACTGTCGGTCTGGCCAAGGACCACTTGGAAGACTTGACCTGCGGATCCTCGGAGCATCCAGTTCACGGCCGAAGAAGGGCCAGCGCAACGGAGCTTGGCCCGAAAAGGCATGTCCGAAGCGCGCTGCGACAACAGGCAATCGACAGACCTCTTGACACGAATGGCCGAGGTCGTGTTTGGATCCTGCTGCAAAGCTTCATCATCTGCCAAGTCGACCTCGTTGAAGGCAACCAAAGCCCGCATTGCGGTGCAATCGATACGCCCAAAGGTAAACATTCCCAGGTCTTTGTCTTCTGTCACATCACGAAGGGAGACCACCGGACAGCCTGCGTGCATATGATGATGTGTCACTGGGCGTCGCAACAGCTCCGGCGAGGTTGCGGCAACTGCTTCACGTGTTGTGACCAAACAAGGTTCCAGATGCCGAAGATCAAGTTCCAGCACTTCTTGGTATTCATTGCCACGGAATGTGAAACGACAAGTCCATTGAGCACTTCGAAACATATCACGAAGCTGCGTTCTCAAACTCCGCGTGTCCTGCAACGATGTGGTCAGCTCAACGTTCAGCAGCTTGGCAACAGCCAAAATACCTTCATGATAGATCATCAGGCTGCACTGTGCGTTCGAGTCTGCCACCGTGAGTCGCAGAGCAAGTCGACGCTCCGTTGGCGCAGTGGCGTGCGCCTGCATCGCTTCGGAACCAGTTTGACATAGTTGTGGAAGATTATAAAGAAAGGTTATAAACATGGACCATTCGAAACCGTCAAGAAGAAAAAGAAAATATACACAGCATTCTCCAATCAGGCCTGACATGGAGCTGCACGTTTGCAAGTACTGCAGCTGTCCAGAATCCATTCATCTGTTTCGGAACGCACCGACGTGATCCCCATGACCTGCAGGCCAACGACTTCGAACACAGTCTCCACTTTCCTCACCGCTCCGGGGACGATGACGCCCATGAGAGCACTCAACGAGGTCGCAACAGCCGGACAGTTCTTGTAGTCCTTGACGGGAACATGGGTCAACATCCGGCAGGCCTCCTTGTCAGCCAAAGTTGCGGTCCTAGGCATTCCCACTATACGAGGCCTATGCATCTGTAACTGTCTAGGCGATACACAGCAAACCAAAGATACCCCATGTATTCAAAAGCAAAACCAAGAGACATCTGATCTGCCAAATCGCGCGGACAGGGCAAAATCTGCGTTCCTCGCCAGGAGCCGAGTTCCCACGAAGCCTCGTCTCCAGCTTTCTTGGACACAAGCACTTGATACAACAGAACACAAGAGTCCACAGCCACAGCGGCCAACTTCTCTGCCATCTCTCTCCAGAAGGCACACCTCACACGCGTCGTCCCTTCTTGGACGACGGCATTGCACACCGACAACGGGCCACTGCCGGTCAATCTCTCAGTGCTTCCAGGATTTTCCACCACCATGGCCTTGACACAGATGTACTGTCTGTCGCGCACACGCGACAAAGACTCCAATGGCACCAGCGGGTGTGTCATTGGCGGCGAGGGCCAGGGAAGATTTTCGTGAGTTCTAATGATAACTTGCACCCCCAGAGTTCCTTTCAAACGCAAATGGTAGTGCAACCTCGAGGTTGAAAACTGTTGGGCCGCATGTTGAATCTCGCCGCCCGCAATACTAATCAAAGCACCCTCAGTACATTTCTTGGCGACTTGCTCTGCCAGCTCTCCCCAGGCTTCGACATACAGAACTTCTGAAGGACTCTCCGTCGCACTGACATGCAACTCAAGCTTCGTGTTTGTGGCAGGTTTGGCCTTGCCTTTTCGACCAGTCTTGCCTTTGGAAGGCGTGCTCAAGGTCTTCTCCTTTGCTTTCACATCCTGTAGCGTGCAAATGACAACACGACCGGCCACAGCAGTTTGCGCCGCGCCCTGAAACTCCGAAGGCTTCAACAGGACAAGCGATGTCGGAGCCGTCATGACAGGGCAAGGTCAACAGATATGCCTGTGGTGGTTTGACACAAAACGGCTCATTTCAGGTGGCCGAAAATTCTCTGGACGCCTGTCGACGGTCGGCTATCTCTCCACTCAGCTCGCGACCATGACGGACTACAGAGGGCGACCCCTCAGCGGTGACATCTGGAAAAGACAAGTCACCCGGCCGAAACACCTGCTGCCGAAATCGTCACAAGAGTACCAGGTCCGCCGATACATGACATAAAACTACCCGCGTCAGCGATATCTCTCGCGTCTTCGCGCTGAGCTCGTGACGACAAAGGATCAGGGAGGGTGACACCTGGGCAGCGTCTGAATAACAAGAGAAGTAACCCGAGTGAAATAATGGCAGACAACTAAATCCAGGGCTATCCGTAGACAAAGTAATTAATAATTTTTCTCGTTTTGCTCGCATTCTCGCGATCGAGGCTGCATCTGGCGATTCGTCACGTCGACTTACCGTCAGTCTGTGCATTGCCACTTCACGCGGGGTCATCGTCCATAAGAAGGCAAGACCGGTTGAGCTTCTTTCAACCATCTGGTTTTGGGCAGAAAGTACCCAACCACGTGCGCCCACTCCACCACCAGAGCGTCCAAATTCAAATCCTCAGTTCTCAGGTCAGTGAATCCGAAAATATGCTTGTTGGATGCCTCTTTGGCGAGCCAGAGGAGGCGCCGCTTCATGAGCTGGATGAACTCATCAACCTTCTGCAGGTGTTGCGCCAGTGGAGACAGAGTGTCAAAAACGGCATGTGGCTGCCCAGTCGTCTCATCTTGTATTCTACGGGCCTGTCTCTGAGCCCATTGGTCGATGTTTTTGGCATGTTTCGTCTGGATTCTGTCCATCGCCGAGTAGTGTTTCCACAACAGCTCATGCAAAAATTTGAAAATCCAGAACATGGAATGATACCGGTACGGTGGCATATGTTTCCATTTCGTCTTCTGCATCTTGTGCGATGTTGCGTCCTCCAAATGCTGCTGCAACGGATAACTCTGTGCCTTTGGAGGATAATGATACTGGTTACCAGCTCTGTCTTGGAAGGTTTCATAGTAGTTCAGCCCGGTCTCAGGGAGAACCGGCAACAACATCCCATATCTCGTGCAGAGGTGATGCCAACGACTCCACTGATCTTGATCCTTGGAAAGCAGGTGTCCAGACTCCACCGTCATACCCATCCTGGATTCCAGAACGAAGCCAGCACACACCTCGCAAAGTGGAAGATCGAGATTCTGACCACGCAGCTCCAAAACTGTTTTCGCGTCCGCGTACTGCTGGATCAAGGCTGTATCAACCAACAGACCGTTGATGTATTTCGGAAAGAAGCAGTCCAGTCGAGTCTGCAGCAGAGGTTTTCCGTGTGCACAAACATCTGCCGAGACGTCCACGACAGTCGCACGCACCGATGTCAACCAATCGTACGTCAGATGCTGCGCTGCAAGGAAGGACCGCATCGGACCCCATGGCAGCATATACTCTCCGATAAACTTCGTGCCTAAATCCACGCCCGGGTTCCGCTGCTCGGCGTCCTCATGTGTAGCGTCCTGCGGGTGACAAGAAACATATATTTACAACACTCCGAACAAGCCCATGCGTCCTGTTCTTCTTCTCGGTCTCTGGCCGAAGCAGGCAGATCACTACGATACGCCTCGTCACCGTCATCGTCCTACAGGCTACAGGAGACATAGATCTACCGCACGTGGCACAGTCGCATGTGTCCTGTCGTCGTTGACTAACACGACGCGACTCATCGGCCTGAGGACCCAAGACATCCACGTAGAGTAAATCAAAACATGTATGAGTCCCCGACCGAAGCAGGCAGATCACTGCGACACGCATCGTCAGTGCCACCATCCTACAGGCTCCAAGAGACATAGTAGATCGACTATACCCAGAACAATCGCATGTGGCCTGTTCTTGCTCACCAACCAGAAGCGACACACCGGTCTGAGGCGCCCAAGACATCGACGTATATAGCAAATCAAAACAGTGTCCGAATCCCTGACCGACGCAGGCAGATCAGTGAGACACGCCTCGTTCGTGTGAGCCACCACCACCGCGGCGGCGCGGCCCAGCGAATCCACTGCCTCGCTCCAGCATCCAAGCAAGTACTTGGGTCGGCATAACTACTGTTATATCTCCCACCTGTTGTGGTCGCTTTCGTGGCGCCGCCTGAGGCATCACATGACATCCATAGCTGCAGGAGAACCGAAACCACAAGCAAGCAAATTACGAACCTGTTTCGTCTCATCTCGTCGTTCCAGTCGAAGACTCGGGGTCACCTACGTCGATGGTCAGATGATGTCACTGTCCACGACGCAGAGCAGAACACTTCTAGGCTCCCACTCGTTTGCGAAGTCGCGGGTCATCACCAGGAGCCTGATGGAAACGATATGACCACAAAAAGACCATGTGTGCTCGCATCGCGGTCCTAGTTTATAGATTCCAAATCCTGCAACATCCAAAAAACGATGTGACCACAAAACGGTTATTCGTGGTCGTATCGTGGTCACGGTTTTTATATCAGAAAGCCTACAAAGCACAAGAAACAATAGGATCTCAAAAAGACACGCCTACTTCGTCGTATCGCGCTCCCGGTTCTCATATTACAAATCATCCAAAGCACCAGACACGACATGACAACCAAAAGGCTATTTATGGTCGTTTCCCAAGCCGTGTTTTTAGAGTCCAAATCTTACAAACGACACGAAGCGATACAACCCCCAAAAGGCTATGTGTAGTCGCATCGCGATACTAGTCCTGAGATCCCAAATCCTGTAAAGCACATGAAACGATAGAAGCATAAAAAGGCTATTTGTGGTCATATCGCGGTCCTGGTTTTTATATCACATATTCTGCATAAAGCCCAACAAACGATATGACCACAAAAAGGCTATGTGTGGTCGCATCGTGGTCATGGTTTGGTCTCGCCGGTCGCATCGCGGTAATGGTTTTTGTTTCACCAGTCCGACAAGGCACAACAAACGATATGACCACAAAAAGCCTATTTGTGGTTGCATCGCGGTCCGAGTTGTTCGATCCCAACTCCGGCAAAAGCCAATAACGACCACAAACAGGCGCGCTTGGTTCAGCCTGCGACGAGACCATTGTCGAGCCAGCCTGAAGCAGTTGCCCGACGATCCAAAACGCAATAACTTCTCTGAGTGGCAGACCGCCTGTCCAGAAGCACTGGCTGCCTGAAGAAAAGACTTATCACAGACAACTTCAAGTAACACTACAAGGTAAGCTATCATAAAGAAGCACCTCTGAGTGATAAACATCCTCTGGGCGCGCACTTGTTCCAGCCTCTGAGGAGACCGTTGTCAATCCGGCTTCCAACGGTTTTTGGACGATCTGAAACACAATAACTCCTCTGAGTGGCAGACCGCCTGTCCATAAGCACTTGCTGCAGTGGGAGAAGACACTGCATCCGCAGACCAACAAGCTTGGTTCTGTGCCTGCAGAAAAGAATGACAGCAGACAGTTCCAAGCAACAGCACAAATTAAAACATCACAAGCAAGCAACTCTGAGTGACAGCTATCCTCTGGGC